CTCCCCTGAGCCTCCTCTTCTCCAGGCTGAACAACCCCGGCTCCCTCAGCCTCTCCTCATAGGACTTGTGCTCGAGTCCCTTCACCAGCCTTGTTGCTCTCCTCTGGACCTGCTCCAGCACCTCAATATCCTTCCTGAACTGAGGGGCCCAGAACTGGACACAGTACTTGAGGTGTGGCCTCACCAGTGCTGAGTACAGGGGAAGAATCACTTCTCTGGGCCTGTTGGCCACACTGTTCCTGATCCAGGCCAGGATGCCATTGGCCTTCTTGGCCACCTGGGCACACTGCTGGCTCATGTTCAGCTTCCTGTCAATCCAAACTCCCAGGTCCCTTTCTGCCTGGCTGCTCTCCAGCCACTCTGTCCCCAGCCTGTAGCGCTGCATGGGGTTGTTGTGACCAAAGTGCAGGACCTGGCACTTGGCCTTGTTGAACCTCATCCCGTTGGAATCAGCCCAACTCTCCAACCTATCCAGGTCCCTCTGCAGAGCCCTCCTGCCTTCCAGCTGATCGACACTCCCCCCCAACTTGGTGTCATCTGCAAATTTGCTAATGGTGGACTCAATCCCCTCATCCAGATCATCAATAAAGATATTGAACAGAACTGGGCCCAACACTGATCCCTGGGGGACACCACTAGTGACCAGCTGCCAACTGGATGCAGCCAGTTCACCGTTCACCACCACTCTCTGGGCCCAGCCCTCCAGCCAGTTCCTAACCCAGCAGAGAGTGCCCCTGTCCAAGCCGTGGGCTGCCAGCTTTTCCAGGAGTATGCTGTGGGAGACGGTGTCAAAGGCCTTGCTGAAGTCCAGATAGACACATCCACAGCCTTCCCCTCATCCACCAGGTGGGTCACCTGATCATAAAAGGAGATCAGGTTGGTCAGACAGGACTTGCCCTTCCTATACCCATGCTGGCTGGGTCTGATCCCTTGTCCATCCTGTAGGTGCTGTGTGATTGCACTTAGGATGATCTGCTCCATAACCTTGCCAGGCACTGAGGTCAGGCTGACGGGCCTGTAGTTTCCCAGGTCCTCCTTGCAGCCCTTTTTGTGGATCAGCGTGACATTTGCCAACTTCCAATCATCTGGGACCTCCCCAGTGAGCCAGGACTGTTGGTAAATGATGGAGAGCGGCTTGGCAAGCTCTCCTGCCAGCTCCCTCATCACCCTAGGATGGATCCCATCTGGTCCCATAGACTTGTGCGGATCCAAGTGGCTCAGCAGGTCGCTAACTATTTCCTCCTGGATTACAGGGAGGGTATTTGGCTTCCTGTCTCTGTCTACCAGTTCCGGGAGCCAGTTGTCCTGAAGACAACCTGTCTTACTGTTGAAAACTGAGGGAAAGAAGGTGATAAGTACCTCAGCCTTTTCCTCATCTTTGGTGACTGTGTTCCCCCCCATGTCCAGGTTGAGTTCAGATTGCGCCTTTGTCTCTCTAATTTTCTTTCTGTATGATCTAACTATATTCCTAAACTCTTCATAAGTAGCCAGACCTTTTTTCCATAGTCAGTAAGCTCTCTTTTTTCCCCTAATTTCCTCCAAAATCTCCCTGTTCAACCAGGCAGGCCATCTTCCCCTCCAGCTTGCCTTTCAGCACACTGGGACAGCCTGCTCCTGTGCATTCAAGACTTCCTTCTTGAAGTACGTCCATCCCTCCTGGACCCCTTTGTTTTCAAGGGCTGTTTCCCAAGGTACCATCTGAACCAGTCTTCTGAATAGGCCAAAAAGATAGATACTGCTTGATCCCAGAACATAGCTATCTGAAAACATAAGTGCTAGCCACGATCAGAGAGACAAATAATTTAATGAGTCAGAGGGAGAACAGCATAAAACCTGTGTTACTGCTGCTGGGTACAGGGCCATAGTTCACCTGCATCTTGACAGTTGTCTAGACTTTTCATCTCAAAAAAGATGTGGAAAAACCTAGGAGGAGGATAAAGGGGAAGAAACAACTTCTACATGAGATCAAAGAGACTGACTCTTCAGCCTGGAAGAATGGATAGGTATATGATAAAGACATACAGGCACATGGAAAATGGTAAATTTTGCAGAAATAGGGAAATGACTACTCTTTACAAGAACAACAAGAAAACAGGTCATGTTATTAACAAGTGAGAAGTACTTTTTTTTCAATATTTAAATGATAAAACACCCTTGCCAAAAGTGTGAAAGTGTTAGAAAAACAAATCGGCAGATCCATGGAAGAAGGGTCTCAGGTTGTTCTTCAACATTAAGTTATTCCTTTCTCAGGGAGCACAATAGCACAGATAGTTAGGAGGACAGTTATAGAATATAACTGTTGTTATATGGAAGTATATCTGTTTTCCCTATTCTCTGCCTAAGTATCTACATTTGGATGTTGTCAGAGGCAGAATTCTAGATTAGATGGACTTTCAGTCTTATATAGTAAAACTGTTCCCCCAACTCCTTGAATCCTGGAAACTGGAATTGGATCCTGTTTCTCCCTCGATGTAACCTGTGGAACTATTTTCAAATACAGTTGAAATTAGTGTTAAAATTCTCAAAGATACTGAGCTTCTACAATAGATTTGTGTGATGTAGGGAAGTCCCTCATTGCTCATGCCTCCAGTATCTCAAACAGAACTGGGTTCTGGTTATTGTCCTGAGTAACGCATCATCAGAAAACATGGATTGAACAGGCAGAAATTTTAAATAAAATGTCACACAACAGTCAGGCAGCAACTGTCTCAATCTTCTACCAACCACAATAAAAATAATATAAATTTGCAAATAGCTCATGGTTGAAACCCAAGTGGCAAAAATAACCTCCGTATGGAAGTTGCTGACAGTTATTGAATATGGTCACGTAGTGTGGCATAGGAGAGACAGGCTGAGGTGGTCATGGGGAGCAGTATGGCTTCTGTCAGCACACTGACCTCTGTATGCACCTATGTCCACAGAGGCTGCCCAGAGCTCTCTGCTTGTGCCAGGCACATCACCTCCTTGCAGTGGGATCACTGCTGGCTCCACTACACCTGCTGGGCTGAGCTGGCTCTGCATCTACTCTGTCAGTGATATGGAAAAAAAGATGTACAAGCCAGAAGTACTCAGCAGGGCTAAATATTCCAGAAATAGCTCCTGGATGTTAAAGGGCAATTATTCTAAGCACAGCAAGACCCTTCATGAGCATGCTTTGAAGTTTAGCTGACCTAGGCCTTGTGGCCACCTTTGTGGAAATTTTAGGATAAACCAAAATCTATGTGTGTAAATCCAAGTATAATCTCAAGGGAAGAGAATAATGTTTACTGAAATAGCTATAGGCCCAACTTTTGGCACCACAGGCTATATTGTCTGCTAACACTCTCCACTAAGTGAAGAAATCGCAGCTGTTTCTGTATCACTATGGCAAGCTCGCAAAGGTGTGATGCTCCCTGACTATGGAAGATGTAGATTAATGTGAATTGCTCCTTTCTAAGGAGTTTCACCTTGCACATGTTCAAATCACCCTAAATTTGGACAGAATAAGACTACAGCAATATATGAAATGTGCTGAAGGGGAAAACAGTTAGAGAAGGCCTGTGGAGGATATAGTTGGTTGAGGAGATCTGCAAGCAGTTTGTCACCTGTGCCTATGAATTTGTTGCATTCCACTAATTTCAACAGGTCTCATCTGCTTATGACAACTAAAAGGTTATTCTAGCATAGCAAAAACAAAGGACATTTGTTTGGTTGTTGGGATGAGCCTCAACTTGGGAAAGTAGGGCAGATGAGAAAGGTGCCTCCTCTCAGGATTCTGTGGTTTTAGGTATATTTAGCCTTCTGAAACTTTTTTGCTATGGTAAAAAAATATAATTCATTCTTTTAATGTTTTTAAGGTAATGCAGATGATCTGGAAGAATATGGAAAACTAGAGGTAAAGTATGAGCACAGCTTCCTTTTCTTCCTATTTTCAATACCTGTCATTACTTCTCAGGCTGTTGCTTCTTCTGAGCCAGGCAGAAGAAGAAAAGATACAGCCTGGTGCCCTAAACTGCTTCTGCAAAGAGTAAATGTGAAGTGAACGAGTTGGCAATGTGATAGTGCAGCTGCAAGATTACAGTACCTAGTCAGGAAATAAGGTTTTCTCTGAGCAATGTTTGTTATTAGGTTATACCTTCTGTATGTCGGTCGATTGTGGTTAGCACTTCTTCCTAGATGCTCTGTTGCTCTTCTACAAACAACAAGACTAAACTCTTCCTTGCTCTTTAATGGTGCAAAGTATGTGCACCATTAAAGTCCACCAGCTGGGCAGTAGGGAGTATGTGGGGACTGTGGTGGCCCCTGTCACAATACTGATTTCACCTTTATGTGGTGATGATGGTCAGCTAGCCAGACATGGCCATAGTAACCCGGGGGCAAGGGGTTGTGTTTCATGTCTCTCTTTAAAGCACTAGATGTTGGGCTATACCTACAGTAAGGATGTAGGATGGCATTGAATAATGTTCCTAGTGGTACTGAGCTGTGTCTCATGCTGAGTGAATAGTACCACTTGCATCCTTGCCTTCTCTGATCACCTGGCCAGGTGTTGCCAGTTATCAAGGAGCCAGAATTGGTTCATTCTGCTTTTCCTGTTGCATATTGAAGATGTAACTTTTTCCAAAATTAGGTGCCCTTTGGCACATGAAGATGTGTGCAATAGCTGTTCTTATGACCTCTTCGAGATTAAGCACTCACTGTTTGCAGCAATCATGTAACAGCATGCATTCAGCACATTTCATTGTTTGCTCCGGCCCAGTTCTGTGGCAGTTGGTAAGAAAACTGAGCAGAAAGTGTTGTTTTGGAACAGTGGATTGAAACCACAGCTGTCTGGATCTGTGTTCCCATGTATTCCTAATAGAGGTGTAATTGTTCTTTAAAATTGTTTACGTGAGTAAAATCTTGGTTCTGTGTGAGAATGGAGCCATAGGACCCCTTTTTCTACAAATTTCCTGGTTAGATTGAAGAAGTTAACTGTATCTGTTTGTCTATGTCAAAGGCTCTAAGAAGCTTGCAGTTTTCATGTGAGCAGGGGACGTTCCCTGAGACCCCTTCATCTTCAGGTTTGTGTTTAATATTGTCCTTGCTGAGGCTTTCCCTCTCAAAATTATTTGTGAATGGACTGGGGCAGAAATCAGCTGTTTCAGGGGATGCATATGTTTGGGATGTGACTAAAGTGGAGATAGGCTCTATAAAGTCCTTTACCTTTTTGTTCTATTCATGATTTCTTTCCTGCTTCACTTTCTTCAGCTGGTAATTGGAGATGCCACTATTACTTAAATCATTCACAGTAGTATTTGTTTTATCTTCTCTTGCTTGATGGTTGAACATTTCAGTGCCTCTAAATACCCAAGGTATTTACTGTATACCCAAGTAAAATTTCTCATCCTCTCTGATGAATTTAAAGCCTGCAATCAAAATGATCATGATGAGTATAGACTTCTTGCATTTTAGCCAATTTTGTTATGTTTTAGTATACTGGTGAATGTAACTTTCTGTCAATATTACTGTTCATTTTTGGTGTTTTTTTTTTTAACCTGAAGTCTTCTTCTTTTCCTCAGTTCATGCTCTAAGGCCAGCTGACATTAAAGCAGTCACTGCAATAGGAAGTTTTCAAAGAGTAAGTACAAGCAGGAAATGTGCTGAACGTGACCCATTTCCTCCATTGTGATGATGAAGCAAGGTGATACAGTTTGGGGTCCCAGTTAGGACGTTCTGGACTTGAATCTTTCCGTGAGCATCAAAGACTTCTGGTGAAAAAATGACTGGAAATACCTGCTGTTCAGTGTTCCAGTATACCCTGAGTCTAAAAATAGCCAGCTGACTTCATGCAGGAGGAAATGTGATCACAGTGCTCTTGCAGAGAACCATGATATTTGATTAGAGTACTTGGATGTGCCTAACAAAGAGTGTAACAGATTGGATAACTGGAAGAAAAAGCTGGGAAAATTCAAACTGGAAAAAGTACAAATTGTTGAGAAATGCAGTATATTTTCCATCTCATTGAGCGTTTTCTATAGAGACTGGTTTCCTATCTAGAAGGCAGAAGGTCTGCAAGGATCACAAAGATTTGCTTCTGATGTATAGATCACTGGGTAAAGTTCTCTTACTGTTCTAATCTAATCTGCAGCCAGAACTGGATGATCTTTACTTGTCTTAATAGTTGAAAGCCAAATTAAAAACATTTAACCACAATTCCCAGGCTTTGAGGAAGTGTAGAAATGCCTGTGGAGCAAAAATTGATAGCTATTGCCAGGGCTGCAGCTATGAAAAATAGGGGAGATTCTCCCTTGTCACTGAACAACTTTAGGCTTTGAGACGGTATTCATCAAGACATGATACTTTTCTATTAGAAAATCAGCACTCCTGGACTCCTTGTGAATAGTGCTTTTGAAGAAAATAATTGTTGTGAATGCAAAGGTGCTTCACCTCTATCAGATGCACCGCTCTTTAGAGCAAGGGCTAATGTCTTTGTTGCTAGTGGATGGTGCCATAGAAAAGCATAAATGATCTTCTTTTCAGGAATGTCTGCTTTCCTAGAGCAAACATATGTCACTGTCTCCTCCTCAAACTCTCTGAAATCAGTGAAGTTCCTCTGTTGATGTCAAGGGTTGTTTTTTTTAACAGACACCATTCTGGCTGAGTGCCATCCGTGTAAATTATGTAAATTACTTCAGGTCGTGTCCTTTGTTGAAAAAGAGTAGAACTAGGTACAGAGAAATTTGGTTTAGAACAGCATTTCATTTGATGGCATTTGATTTCAGCTATTTAAACTTTATTTGAAGCCATATGTAAAAAAACCATTAATGAAAGCAGAAACTAAGAAAGGATTACAAGACTATGAAAATACACTGTAATAAGGAAGCTTTGGAAAATAATTTAAGTCTGTGACTGATTACAACACAGTGGAGAAGAATATGTAGAAAACAATACTATCTATAACAGGAGTGGAACACGATAGGGGAACAGCACATGTAGGTCTAGTTTACACTTTGTTGCTTAATGTTATTCTTATTGCTTCTTTGTTCACAGACACCAGGATCTGTTGAGGATTTACTCCAAAGGTAACAATAAACTGTTAGTATTTACAAGTGTCATTATACTAATCTATACAGTATCACAGTGCAGGAATTAGGTCCAAGCAATTCTTATTATTGTTTTCTAGAGAGGAGGAGAAAGTCTATTTAAAATATAAAGGATTTTGAGACACTGTAACTTTCTCTGACCTTAGGTAACAGAAATTCTTTGTACTTATGCAAGATATAGAAGTAACTCAGGGTTGCAATAACCTTGATTAAGAATCATTGCTACATGATGAATCCTAGGTAATAAATATCATAATTCACTAGTTAGAGACCAGAAAGTAGGGATTTTTCAAAGCAAAGAAAGAACCCAGGAGTCCTGATACCCTGACCTCTGTTTGAGTGATTCCCAGTGCTTCATGGACAAGCATTACCCTGTTTTCTTCCATGCCCCCTTAACAGATCTAAATCAATGAATGAACATAATGCTAAACCTTGTAGTTGAAAGTCTGTGTAGCTCTTGAATCACAGCATTCCAGATGAGGATTTAGCCATGCCCAGATAAACTTTAAAAGGCTAATTTTTCTTATAATTGCATAAACATCTGTGTCCACTTCTATCTGGGTTTACACAGAGAGGTCCCTGCATTACTTGTACTTATGCATAAGCACAAGTACTGCAACATGCAGAGCTTAAAAATGAGATCTAAGACAGTGTTCTTACTCAGCAGTAGCTGATGACATGACAGTTTTCGGGAAAGAAAGGCCCCATTCTTACTTCCAGCAGCTGCCATGAATACACACTCTGAGATGGAGCATAAGTAATAAGAAATTGCGGCTGTGCTGTAATAGAATTTTTCTTTGAGAAATGGAATAACAGGAACTTCCTGTTTTCTCTCCCCTTTCTATAGCACAGGAAAGAGCTTCCTTGAAGTAAGCGTGAAAACTTTAGCAGGTGCGTCTTTCTGTCACACTTAAAACTTGAGCAAATTGATTTAACAGCTCGCTGGCAGGAGCTCCAGGCTCTGCTGGGCTGCAGAGCAGGTGCAGCACAAGCACACTGCAGGCGAGTAAGGGACACCTGAGGGATGGTGTAGCTGGGGGACATGAGTACAGTCAGCCTGGGTTACCTATGCTGGCTTCAGAGAGACTGTCTGGGTAGGCAAATAGCAGTGAAGAAGGCGTGCCACAGGCTGCTGCAAGATTCTTAAATGCCCAGCTGGGGGTTTTGGGCTGCTATTACTACCCATGATACAGACTCTACAGGTGTGTGCTTGCTGCCCATGCTAGCCCAGTGAAATCCTATGTGGGTTTGCCTGTCCAGTGCTGCCTGTGTTTAGGATTTACACTGAGGCTGCCAAAGATGCACCACATCTCTGAATTCATCACCTATCAGCTGGTTCCAGCTGGCTCTGAAGGCAGCCTTTACTTGTTTGAAGGACAGTGCAAGTAAAACCTTCAGGTCCACTGAAATGCTGAGTAACATATAGTTCCATGATCCTCCTCTCCAAACCATCTTCCTAGTGTCTTAACTCTTCGACATCACCTCTATTTCCCTGTGAAAGGGGTTTAAAACCTGGCAACTCATCAGCTCTTCAGGAGGCTGTCTCTGCAGCCCTTTCCAGTAGCTTCATTTCTACAGCTGCCTGTATTTAAGTCCACCTACACTACTTGAGAGATGGGAATGGAGGTTTCTGCCCTGTGTCTGGAGGCAAACTCAGGCATGAAGACTTGACTTCTAAAGGTGAAGAGCAAAACCAGGAAGAACAGCTGCAGAGGGCCTTGGGCGTACCTCTCACGTCTGCCAAAAGATCACTAGGCTTTACGTGTCTGGCTGTTCTAGTTCTGTTGGGTTTATAATGAAACAGCAGAGTAGCAGTCCGTTGGATGCAGAAATCACCTAACCTGTGTTGTGTCATTCAGTTCTCATTAGCAGTTTTAATCCCACGGTCCTACACCTGTCCCCTCTGCCTGACACAATGGGAGCAACGTCAGACAGTCAAGCCATGTAAGTCTGAGGGGCTTTTGGCTGGGCAGTTTTACAGCTGATTTACAGATTTACAGCTAGAAATGTGGAGGATGGAAGCCTTTGATGCTGGAGCACTTCAATGGACACAGAATATGTTCAGTACCAGCAGAGGCTGCATAAACAATCCAGGGACAGACCCTGCCACTGTCGCTCAATTTCCACCTCTCAGAATCAGGACAAACAAAGCCCAGTGTGTGCTTTGGGGTCTGGATCACCTGACTTAACATCAGGTCTCCTCTTTACCACTGCAAAATAAATTTTTGGCTCAAATAGAGTGAGAGATGTGCCTACCAAGCTGTGTCTGCTGTTTTCACCTAAGTGCACATGTCTGAAAGTTAAATACTTGAATATGAGCTAATCACCTCAGGCTCTCTTTGTAGCACAGATGTCTAATCTTAACACATTTAGGAGAGAAAAGATTAATCCAACCTGAAGCCTTAAATGTCCTTTGATTTAATGGTAAAAAATCAGCCTAAGCTTTATCCTTACTGATGTTTTCATAGTTTCTCTCTTCCTTTCTGCTTTTCAGAGACCTCCTGCATCAAGCTAAAGAAATAGTGGAGCTCATGAAAGAGAATCAGGTTTGTTTAAAGCACAGGACAATTCAGAAAACATGGTGTTGAAGCAGAAAAAGGCAGAAAAGTGATTTAATGCTTTAAACAGCTCTCGAAAATCTTTTCAAAACAGAAAATGCTGTTTCTTGAGGTTAATAGACTTTGGTCTTTCTGTGCCTTTCAAGTAAAGAGTTTTTGTTCTTGAAAGTATCCTACCTTGTTTACATTTGTAAGAGTGGCTGAAGAGCTTGGTAGGGAAGCCAATATGTTTATTTTCTATTGGCTAAGGATGTGAGACCTCTGCTAGCTACACTCTGTAACTGTGCCAGTGTTTCTGAGAAGCCAACCCAAAATAATAATTCTTAGTATTTGTCTCTTCAGTTCTTTTTTGGTCTTTCAAGAGCATATTTGCAAAAAGGACAGTAAAGGCCTAGATATGCTTTGGCTGATGCTGGTGAGAGCTTGAATTATCACTCATGGCTAAGTGCTTTGTAAATCCCATCCTGGAGTTTTAAGCATTCATTTTTCTTTTATTCATAACCACAAGGCATGTTATTTTGTAAAATAGTCTTGAAATAATGGGAAAATGTAATTGCCAAGGCAATTCTGCTGCTGGCTCTTCACTCTACAGGGAGCCCATCAGACTGTTTGTATGTGGATTTGGCATACATTTCTGTGGAACTTTGTGGTTCTAACCAATGCTCTTCAAGAGTGTTGAGAATTGACTAATAAATATAGCACAAGCAAGCAGGGCTCTAGCTCTCAGATTTTTAACTCCAGTCTATATCCCACTGATGTAATCCATTCTCAGCAGTTCAGGAACCTTAATCCTATTGGTAAACTGCAACAGTGATATAAAGAAGCAACATCAAGCTTTGTGCTAAGTTGTTCATGCCCATTTTTCCAATAGTCTCCACTGGCAACAGCAATTTCAGGCTCTATCCTGAGCTCTTTGTAGATGTGCATTCAGCAGCATCTGATGATTGCAGCACTTGCTGCCTAACCATCCATTTACTGCCTCCTCTAGGGAAAAGCTGGATGGATTGTCAAATGGAAGGGATTGAGATGGCCAGGGATGGGCTGTGGACTACTGCTTGGTCTTGCTGATTTAAAGCTAAAGCATGTCATGTGTGAGAAAGGAAAATAGCAAATATATCTGCTATCATCCTATTCCTTAATTTTTTTTCCTTCCAGTTGATGGACTTCCAGAATGACTGGAAACTAATCACAGTGTTTTTTAGTGCTGAAAACCCACGTTCCTCCTGTGCTTCCACACAACTGGTAAGTGTTTAGTGGGGTGGTTTAGCAGTCAAGGCAGATGGTTAAGATACTTTCCCATACTCTGCTGTCTGCCACAGTGAACTAAAGGAGTAGATAGGTCTGGGATGTTGGAATGGTTCTATCCAGTGATGTAAGCTCCTGACACACTGTGTTTTGTATTTATATACATCTATACTTAATTTGTCATCTCAAATCTGAGATGCCTTAGTGGAACAACTGTTTTCCACCTTCAAGTAGAAAGATACTTTTTTTTTTCACATCCCTGTCTTTTTTTATATATATGTCAAGTTGTCTATTTGTAGGCAGTTAAATTAGTTCCATGTTATTGTTGTTGGCTAAGGCTGAATTCTGACTGTAGTGGTTCTTAATAACCCTTCAGTACACAGCTCAACACACAGGGTTTGTGACTTACAGGCAATGGATAACTTTGTTTTTTCTACTAGTGTTGATGGCATTTCTCCTCTCATTTACAGAAGAACTGCACATTGGAAAACCTGGAACAACTTAAAGCTGTCTTGGATTTCTTGTATAAAAAGGTAAGATGTATTCATCAACCCTGAATAGCTGAATCCTTTGTGTATTTTTCTGGTCTCCCTTACTAGACTAGGGCTGGTACCACTCTTCATGCGGCTTAGAACATTGGTTTCATTGACTCCAACTCACTGGCCTTGTTTGTTTTCACTAAGTGTGTTACTCACGCTTTTAAAAAACTGATACATGCAAACAGAAAGAAGGGATGGGTAACTGCTCTATTTTACGACACAATTTGCAAATCTTTCTTTAAGTAATTTTTAAGTACTTACATTTTTAAGTAATTTTTAAAGTAATTTTAAAGTAATGTCTATGAAAAATGGAGTACATCTGTCTAGGCCTGAAAGTCATGCTTAACAGGACTGTTGGTGAAAACAATTGATAGTTAATTACTGGATGTGTGGAACAGGTAGGCAGTGTACAGGCAGCTAACTACATGGTGATGACTTTTACAGACCAGGGAAAACACATATTAAAATAAGTATAATGGATCTTTTTTCCTATTATGTGTTCATTTTAAGATCTCAGCCTTTCTAAAGGTTTTCTAGCTGGCTGAGAAAAGAATTATCTGTTTATCTAGGATGGTTTCTGGGAAGCATTCTGCGGTGTGTCTTGGTCTGCTAACGAATAGTAGACTAGACAAGGATAGATCACTACTAAAGCAGATTATGAACTGTTTATCTGAATTATTTCAATAGTATTTTCCAATAATTTTGTTTTGCTGCATTGAAGGCCTACAGCGTATTCTAAACCTGTTACAGTTTGATTGCATCAGGCCACAAGCACTTGTTTTTCTCCAGCTGACTTCAACAAATACTGTGCATGGATGAAGTTCCACCCACGTATTCTCTTCAAATTCTCTCCACTATTATTTCCAGAATTTGTTTATGCGCACTTGTAAAAATGAAATATCATAAATAACAAAAAGCTGCTTTCTGCTTGGGGGAGAGGTGAGGTGGGTTGCATGAGTGCTTGTGCTATTATGCAGCATGTTTCATCCCCAGCTTTGCATTGGTATGTTGCCACATAAATAGTAGTTCCTAGTTCATTTGAGTTTAAATTAGTTGGCTGTTGGCCATTTTGATTATGTAAAATTAATTGTTATGTCTCAGTCAAGATGTCATGGTCACAAGTACTTCATAAATGATGATCCTAGATGGCAGGCACAGGAGCAGAATTCAGGGCAGAATTGGCAAAGATCATTGATTTTATGCAGGCAGAATCCCAGGCTTGGGAAGCTGTAGACATGATCTACTGTTATTGCTACTTGCTGATCTTTAATTGCAAAAATAGCATGATTAATTTTTACTTTATTACTGCAGGTTCCAAAGGCCTTCGTAAATCTAGTGGATTCCACTGAGCTCACAACAGCCTCTCCTGCATGGCAAGATTACAGTAATGCCAGGTAGCAGGTTTCTTTAAATTCTGTCTCCTGCTGATGTTCAACACATAGCTATGTATATGTATTGATTTTATAACTGAGTTAGAGTCTTCTGAACAGTTTTTCTGCCCTTAATACAAAAGTATGTAAAAGATTTTAAATCTTCACTTTGTTTCTGATAAACTCTTTCAGAAAGGTATTTTTTTACTAGGAAGAGTAGGTGCTTTTAATCCTGTCAAGTTGGATAGCATATTTAAATAGTGGGTCAAAGTGAGTGGAAAAAGAGAAAGCATTGATGCTGTACGAGCTCTGTTCACCAAGAGCTAAAGCATCAGTGTGTTATCAACAGTTTTAGCCACAAATCCAAAACACAGTATGGTCTGCTATGAAGAAAGTTAACTCCATCCCAGCCAGACCCAGTACTGAGATTATGGTCAGGAGGGTGCACAGTCTAGCTACCCTCAGTTCTTTATTCACTATATATTCACTATATATATACTATTTCTGTTCTGCAATTCTCAAGTAAAAAACACTGTAGGCACTTCAGAAGTTCAAGTTTCTAGATACCCGTGTTCACACAATGAGTAACTGATCTTACAGGACATTGTTAGGCTATTGGAAAGCTACTACTTGAGCTTAGGATATGGTAGGATGGATAACATCCAACTTGTCAGTTCCTTATGATAACTGCATCCATCTCTCTCCCTTTCTCAGTACTTTGTAACAAGCGTGTGAGTAGTTTGTCCTGATTTAGTATGGAGTAGGAGTGTGCACATGGGCTGTTATGGTGGAGTAGTTTACAGCTGATGAGATTACACTCCATCTTACTCCACAGTAATTTTTTTTCCTGTGCTCGTGGCATAAGACACCATACGTACTATTATAGTCATCCTGAAGTGTTTCACAAGCTTTGCATGTGTACAATCTTGGAGACTTTCTGGTGGAAAGGGGGAAGAGGTCTGGCTGCCATGTAACCGTGTACTTAACAACAAGTACAAGCAGAGGAGAAGCTTTCCTGGTCAAAAGTGACTACATGGAACACTCTACTTATTTCTCCTGCACAGGCCTTAGAGGGAAAAATGTGAGAAATGTGGAAAAGATGGATTTAGGAATAAAGACCTTGCCATGTACTGAAGGTTTTAAAAATAAAATTAAATAAATCTGGTTTTTTCCTCTGAAAACTTTTTATATTTCCTTTTTTATTTAAGGCAATTTGCTTTCTCATTGTCAGCATGCTGTGTTCATAGCTGTGTTTATCTGGTTGAACAGTTCCACCAGTTTGCAAGTCTTGTACTTTGCTGTTTGGTAAACTTAACCTCCGTCACAGAACTTCTCCCAGATAAGATCCTCAGCTTTTGACCACTAAGTCCTCATTTTGAACTGTGCTTTGAGGAAAAAGCATAAGCCCATACAAAAATAGGAAATTTCAGGAGTCCAAGAGGATATCAGTGGTTGACAATCCCAGTCCCATGTCAGTACTGAACTTTAGGCGTTGAAGTGTGGGACACAATAATGATTTAAAGTTCCTTCCCTTATTAGTTTCTTACTAACTAGAAGTGTCTGCACTAAAAGTAATGCAGGAACCCTGTTTTTAGTCATGTAATTCTCTTCATGTATTTTATGAGGTTCTTCTATTAGGCTTGGGTAAGATTCTGGTCCTGAGTTGGTAATTCTTTCACTCACAAGTAGTGATAATAGCACTTTAACAGAAAACTCTCATTTTATGGGTTTAGCTAGAGTTCTGGGAAAAAACAAGAATCTGATC